GGATTCCTGTGATTGGCACAGTTGCATGTAGCTGAGTGCAGGGGCAAGGGCTGGACAGTTGCTTGATTTCAGGCTGAGATGACAGAACAAGTTATGCTACACCTCTTCTGAACCCAGATGTGGAACGTCCTTGTGAAGAGTAGTGGGCTGAGCCAGTCAAGGTGAGACAGGATCACGGCTGGTGTACTGTGTGTTTTGCTTGGGCGATTGATTGCGTTGAGCTTGTACGCTGTGGCTGCGGATGATGACAAACATAATCCCAGCTCTCTGAAGGCATTCGTGCCGTGAAGAGTGATTGTTCCGACACTTTGTCTGATGGCAGACTTGGTGGCAGGCTAGCATGAGGATTCCTGTGATTGGCACAGTTGCATGTAGCTGAGTGCAGGGGCAAGGGCTGGACAGTTGCTTGATTTCAGGCTGAGATGACAGAACAAGTTATGCTACACCTCTTCTGAACCCAGATGTGGAACGTCCTTGTGAAGAGTAGTGGGCTGAGCCAGTCAAGGTGAGGCAGGATCACTACTGTGTTTGTTGCTGGGGAGTTGATTGCGTTGAGCTTGTACGCTGTAGCTGCGAATGATGACAAACATAATCCCAGCTCTCTGAAGGCATTCGTGCCGTGAAGAGTGATTGTTCCGACTCTCTGTCTGATGGCAGACTTGCCGGCAGGCTAGCGTGAGGATTTTTGTGACCTTGACACATTTGCATGTATCTGCGTGCGGGGGTAAGGTTTGGGCAGTTGCCTGATTTCAGGCTGAGATGACAGAACAAGTTATGCTACACCTCTTCTGAACCCAGATGTGGAACGTCCTTGTGAAGAGTAGTGGGCTGAGCGAGCCAGTCAAAGTGAGACAGGATCACGGCCGGTGTTGCTGTGTTTGTTGCTTGGGCAATTGATTGTGTTGAGCTTGTACGCTGTGGCTGCAGATGATGACAAACATAATCCCAGCTCTCTGAAGGCATTCGTGCCGTGAAGAGTGATTGTTCCGACACTTTGTCTGATGGCAGACTTGGTGGCAAGCTAGCATGATGATTCGTGTGATTGGCACAGTTGCATGTAGCTGAGTGCAGGGGCAAGGGCTGGACAGTTGCTTGATTTCAGGCTGAGATGACAGAACAAGTTATGCTACACCTCTTCTGAACCCAGATGTGGAACGTCCTTGTGAAGAGTAGTGGGCTGAGCCAGTCAAGGTGAGACAGGATCAGGGCTGGTGTTACTGTGTTTGTTGTTTGGGCGATTGATTGCGTTGAGCTTGTACGCTGTGGCTGCGGATGATGACAAACATAATCCCAGCTCTCTGAAGGCATTCGTGCCGTGAAGAGTGATTGTTCCGACACTTTGTCTGATGGCAGACTTGGTGGCAAGCTAGCATGAGGATTCCTGTGATTGGCACATTTGCATGTAGCTGGGTGCAGGGGCAAGGGCTGGACAGTTGCTTGATTTCAGGCTGAGATGACAGAACAAGTTATGCTACACCTCTTCCGAACCCAGATGTGGAACGTCCTTGTGAAGAGTAGTGGGCTGAGCCAGTCAAGGTGAGACAGGATCACGGCTGGTGTTACTGTGTGTTTTGCTTGGGCGATTGATGGCGTTGAGCTTGTACGCTGTGGCTGCGGATGATGACAAACATAATCCCAGCTCTCTGAAGGCATTCGTGCCGTGAAGAGTGATTGTTCCGACACTTTGTCTGATGGCAGACTTGGTGGCAGGCTAGCATGAGGATTCCTGTGATTGGCACAGTTGCATGTAGCTGAGTGCAGGGGCAAGGGCTGGACAGTTGCTTGATTTCAGGCTGAGATGACAGAACAAGTTATGCTACACCTCTTCTGAACCCAGATGTGGAACGTCCTTGTGAAGAGTAGTGGGCTGAGCCAGTCAACGTGAGACAGGATCACGGCCGCATTCGTGCCGTGAAGAGTGATTGTTCCGACACTTTGTCTGATGGCAGACTTGGTGGCAGGCTAGCATGAGGATTCCTGTGATTGGCACAGTTGCATGTAGCTGAGTGCAGGGGCAAGGGCTGGACAGTTGCTTGATTTCAGGCTGAGATGACAGAACAAGTTATGCTACACCTCTTCTGAACCCAGATGTGGAACGTCCTTGTGAAGAGTAGTGGGCTGAGCCAGTCAAGGTGAGGCAGGATCACTACTGTGTTTGTTGCTGGGGAGTTGATTGCGTCGAGCTTGTACGCTGTAGCTGCGAATGATGACAAACATAATCCCAGCTCTCTGAAGGCCTTCGTGCCGTGAAGAGTGATTGTTCCGACTCTCTGTCTGATGGCAGACTTGCCGGCAGGCTAGCATGAGGATTTTTGTGACCTTGACACATTTGCATGTATCTGCGTGCGGGGGTAAGGTTTGGGCAGTTGCTTGATTTCAGGCTGAGATGACAGAACAAGTTATGCTACACCTCTTCTGAACCCAGATGTGGAACGTCCTTGTGAAGAGTAGTGGGCTGAGTGAGCCAGTCAAAGTGAGACAGGATCACGGCCGGTGTTGCTGTGTTTGTTGCTTGGGCAATTGATTGTGTGGAGCTTGTACGCTGTGGCTGCAGATGATGACAAACATAATCCCAGCTCTCTGAAGGCATTCGTGCCGTGAAGAGTGATTGTTCCGACACTTTGTCTGATGGCAGACTTGGTGGCAAGCTAGCATGAGGATTCGTGTGGCTGGCGCAGTTTCATGTAGCTGGGTGCCGGGGCAAGGTCTGGGCAGTTGCTTGATTTCAGGCTGAGATGACAGAACAAGTTATGCTACACCTCTTCCGATCCCAGATGTGGAACGTCCTTGTGAAGAGTTGAGCCAGTCAAGGTGAGACAGGATCAGGGCTGGTGTTACTGTGTTTGTTGTTTGGGCGATTGATTGCGTTAAGCTTGTACGCTGTGGCTGCGGATGATGACAAACATAATCCCAGCTCTCTGAAGGCATTCGTGCCGTGAAGAGTGATTGTTCCGACACTTTGTCTGATGGCAGACTTGGTGGCAAGCTAGCATGAGGATTCCTGTGATTGGCACAGTTGCATGTAGCTGAGTGCAGGGGCAATTTCAGGCTGAGAGGACAGAACAAGTTATGCTACACCTCTTCTGAACCTAGATGTGGAACGTCCTTGTGAAGAGTTGAGCCAGTCAAGGTGAGACAGGATCAGGGCTGGTGTTACTGTGTTTGTTGTTTGGGCGATTGATTGCGTTAAGCTTGTACGCTGTGGCTGCGGATGATGACAAACATAATCCCAGCTCTCTGAAGGCATTCGTGCCGTGAAGAGTGATTGTTCCGACACTTTGTCTGATGGCAGACTTGGTGGCAAGCTAGCATGAGGATTCCTGTGATTGGCACATTTGCATGTAGCTGAGTGCAGGGGCAAGGGCTGGACAGTTGCTTGATTTCAGGCTGAGATGACAGAACAAGTTATGCTACGCCTCTTCTGAACCCAGATGTGGAACGTCCTTGTGAAGAGTAGTGGGCTGAGCCAGTCAAGGTGAGACAGGATCACGGCTGGTGTTCCTGTGTGTTTTGCTTGGGCGATTGATTGCGTTGAGCTTGTACGCTGTGGCTGCGGATGATGACAAACATAATCCCAGCTCTCTGAAGGCATTCGTGCCGTGAAGAGTGATTGTTCCGACACTTTGTCTGATGGCAGACTTGGTGGCAAGCTAGCATGAGGATTCCTGTGATTGGCACAGCTGCATGTAGCTGAGTGCAGGGCCAAGGGCTGGACAGTTGCTTGATTTCAGGCTGAGATGACAGAACAAGTTATGCTACACCTCTTCTGAACCCAGATGTGGAACGTCCTTGTGAAGAGTGGTGGGCTGAGCCAGTCAAGGTGAGACAGGATCACGGCCGGTGTTGCTGTGTGTTTTGCTTGGGCGATTGATTGCGTTGAGCTTGTACGCTGTGGCTGCGGATGATGACAAACATAATCCCAGCTCTCTGAAGGCATTCGTGCCGTGAAGAGTGATTGTTCCGACACTTTGTCTGATGGCAGACTTGGTGGCAAGCTAGCATGAGGATTCCTGTGATTGGCACAGTTGCATGTAGCTGAGTGCAGGGGCAAGGGCTGGACAGTTGCTTGATTTCAGGCTGAGATGGCAGTTCAAGTTATGCTACACCTCTTCTGAACCCAGATGTGGAACGTCCTTGTGAAGAGTAGTGGGCTGAGCCAGTCAAGGTGAGACAGGATCACGGCTGGTGTTACTGTGTGTTTTGCTTGGGCGATTGATTGCGTTGGGTTGGTATGCGGTGGCTACGGTTTCACAGACCTGGGTCTGAACTTGATTCAGTTGCATCTTATAGGTTTGTGCTTCTCCGCGGCTTGAGACCGCATTCTTTGCGCAGTTCCTTGCACCGTTACCTCGTTGCATTGCTGGATGGAGCGCTTCAAAAGCATCAGGGTAGCACAAAGGCTATTGATTTGCGATGGGGAGCAGCAATTGGCGGATGACGGACCACCGCAGCCAGCAACGCATGCGAGTTGATGATGGCCGGGATACGTTGAGTATGTTATTGTCATGCGTGCATAGGAACACAGTAGCACGTCTCGATTCTTTGTTTTATACTGTCAGTCTCTGCAGGCTTTCAGAGTTGGGGGGATCATTTTGGATGTGCCCAGTGGAGCAAATCGCCACATATTTTTCAGATGGCCGAGGTCGGAGGAGCAGTGGGCTTTGGCAGCTCTGCATTGGCCGGAGCGCTCGATTCAAAAAGGCGCCCGGGCATCGCGTTGCCTTTTTCTGCAGGGGAGGGTTTTGGCCAATGCCAAGTTTTTGCTTTGTGCAGCCGTGCGATTCCTTGCCCATGCCAATGCCCGCGAATTCCAAGCCAGACCTGCCGCAGCCATTCACGGCTTCAAGGGATAGAGGGGAGAATGGCATGCGAAGCGGACAGCACAGATATATGTCCTGCATCTCCAGCTTCGTTTTACAGGCATTCCACTCAGTACTTAACACATTTCCTTGCACCTTGAATGCTGGCCCGTCGAATGAGATTAGAGCACAAGCCAGTGTAACAGCCACAGCTTTGTGTAGGTTCCGAATTCATCATGGCTCGTGAAGCTGAGTTTTCAAACCCGACACTGGAACTTCCAGGCAGCTGGGAGGACACGCTAGATTCAGCATCAGAATCAGAGGCAGGCCCAGATTCGTTCGCGCAAGAGCCTTATTTTCAAAGCGCAGAAATCCAGAGCTATTAGCTTAGTGCCGCTTAACTTGGTGACTGTGAACCATCCCCTTAGCTTTTAGCTTTTTAGGGTTTAGTGATAGTCCATCTAACCCCACTAAAAGTTTAACTTTTAGCGGGGGATTTGAGGGCAGGCACTTCTCGAGAGCTTGGCGCCTCAGGAAGAGCGGCCCATGGCTCGTTGGCTCATTCTCGGGCTGTGCCTGCTCACGGTCCTGGGCATTGCGGTGGCGATTTTGCTTGGCACAAAGGGGTCAAGACAATCTCCGGACGCCGCCTTCAGGGCGGGCAGCGGAGGAGGCGGCGTGTTGATGTCGTCCTGTTCCGGGCCTTCTCGGTGCGAATATCCCATGCCCTACCCCTGGGGCACCTGGCCGGTGACCTACAAGTACGAGGGGAGCTTTCCTGATGGATTCGTGTGGGGTGTGGGGACGGCCGCCTACCAAGTTGAAGGCGGCTACAAGGATGGGGGCAGAGGTGCTTCGGTTTGGGACACCTTCACAGGTGCCAACACGGTGGGCATGCCTGGGGGAAATTGCAGCTATTGCTGCAAGGCGCCACCTTGTTCCATCAATCCGGGGGTCCAGGACAAAGGCTCCACGGGGAATGTGGCCACGGATAGTTATCATATGTTCCCAACAGACATCGCGTTGATGAAGGCCATGGGCCTGAAGCACTACCGCTTCAGCATCTCTTGGCCTCGGATGTTTCCGCATGGCGAGGCCACCGGGGACCCGGACAAAAGAGGTGTGGAGTGGTACAGCAACTTCATCGACGCGCTTCTGAAGGCGAAGATCACGCCCTACGTGACGCTGTACCACTGGGACCTCCCGCAGGCACTGCTGAGTCCCCCGGAGAAGGGGGGCTGGTGGGCCCGGGACGCTGAGGGCAAGCCGGTGAATGAGGTGCTGCCCAACTGGCTGCACTACGTGGACACCTGCTTCCGGCTCTTTGGGGACCGGGTGAAGTTCTGGGTGACCTTCAACGAGGCCTGGACCTTCACCAAGCTGGCCTCGGGCGCCGGAAAGGCCCCGGGCATTCAGCCCTACATGAACCCCATGCTGGATCCCTACATCGCCGGCCACAACGTCCTGCGGGCCCATGCGGCGGCAGTGGACCTCTATCGCCGGAAGTATCAGGCCCAGCAGAAGGGGCAGATTGGTATCACCAACAACTTTGACTGGCGCGAGCCAAAGACAAATACTGAAGCTGATATTGCTGCAGCAGAGAGGGCGATAGTCTTCAATCTCGGCTGGTACTCCGAACCAATCTTCGGAGATGGGGATTATCCTGCTGAAATGAGAGCTGCCTTCAAGGACACCTTGCCCAGCTTTACGGAAGAGGAGAAACGTATGCTGAAAGGCAGCGCAGATTTCTTTGGGCTCAATCACTATGGAACTGGCTGGTTTTCGGCCAGCAAGGATCCTGGGTGGGACAATTCCTATGGCACTGTGAATGAGTCGGGCTTTGTGCATGGGCAGTCCAAGTGGCTGTATGGGGCAGGTTGGGGTTTGCGGAAATTGCTGAACTGGGTGAAGCGGCGCTACAACAGCCCTACCATTTATGTCACCGAGGGCGGCTGGTCCATGGCTGCAATCACGCCTGAGCAGGGAGCCAATGACACTGGACGGGTGTATTACTATGCCAACTACACCTCAGAGGTGCAACGTGCCATTCAAGAGGACGGTGTTGACGTGCGAGGCTACTTCGCATGGTCTTTGATGGACAATTATGAATGGGAGATGGGCTACAAGGAGCGTTTCGGCATCACTTTTGTGGACTACAACTTCGGTTTGGACCCCAATGCGCCTTTGCCAAACACCGCAGTGCCCACACCAGGGAATCAGCTGAGACGCCGGAAGAAGTCGAGCTGTTTCCTGGAGATGCTTTGGCGTAACAATAAGATGACCAGCCCTGCAGCCCCAAACCTTTGCGTGGAGCCGCTGATTTTCGAGGGCAAATACCGAGATACTTCCGGCTGCAAGCGAGTCATTGATGTCTACATCGGCCATGCAACCGGATCCGTGAGCGGCACCAAGCCGGCGGCAGGCAAGACAGTATGCGACAATGTGACCGATGTGCCATATGGTCCAGGCATCTTGCAGCTAAGCGGCAGCACGGCCTCTCGGCATGATTTGCGGCATAGCCAAGTGCAGGCGACAGCTCGAAGCCTCCACACGCTTGGTTTGGTTCTGGCTTTCCATTCAAAGTTCACCAGCTTCCGCAAGCGAACTTTCTCAAAACATCGTTTGAACTAAAATGTGCCATGTCATGTCTAAACAATTTCAGGTTAAACAAAGTCACAATAATTTGCCATTGACTTCCCAAGGGAGTACTTGAGACATTGACATCTTGTTTGCTTGAGCTTTTCGCCCATGCTTTTGACCTGAAATTCCACAGGTCATTTGCAAAAACTGCTCGCCTTCGTCCAGTTTCCTGCAGGCCGCCGCATGCGGGTAGCACGTGTTGCGGCGTGAGCTTCTGCCCTCGGCTTTTTTCGTGCGGGTGGGCACGAAATCCCTTCGCACTACTTGGAAACCATGGGAAACGAATTGTTTGTTGTTTTTTTACAGGGGAATCATCAGGAACCAGGGTTTCTTTTCGTCCATCAGTATGCTTTCCTTGAGAAAGCCCTGAGAAAGACCCTGCTCCAGGGCTTCTGGTCAGACTCCAGCCTGGGCATCGAGTGGGCTGATGGGAGTTTGTGGACCAAGGCCGCATTGCACATATCATGAGGTGGTGCTCGGCATGGGGACCTCTACTGTACCTCTTTCTGCAAATCTTTTTCTCTGTGTCCATACCCTTGCAGTCTCAGCTCTCGTTGATTGGGACATCTTCTTAAGATGTCATTGCATGCAAGCAGATGGGCACTGACAAGCAACACATACACCAAGTAGAGGGTTGGCCGAGCGATAAGAAGGAGTTCGTATCTAGCTTAAACTACTTGCGGTGCTACTTGCGGCTGTTTGCCTGTCACAGTGCGGGCCCATTTTCCAAAAAATGAAGGTGAACTCGGTATGATACTAGTGTTGGAGGTTGCACATCATGTTGTGAAGTTGCGCCTGTGTTGAACAATTGTGCAGGTATTTTGAGCCCTGCATCGGACGAGGCTCACGCCCGTAGCGACGCCTGGCAGTGTAGTGTGATAGGTGGATAGGTGGACTCTGATGGCACGAAATGTGCCAGGTTCTTGCAGAAGACAACGAGCTTTTGTGCTGAGATTTTCCAGCAGTGTAGGTAGACATGGCTTTCTGTTTGTCAACTGCCAAGTTCTGGACTTGCACTTGCCGTGACGTCGCTGGATCATCAGCCTTAATTAAACACCCCAGCGTGCACGACAGTGTGCTCCCTATATTGCAAGTCGGGCAATGAACATCTGAGCTCTCGTCAATTTGCACGCCTCTCAATTTTCCTGTCATTTTGCCACGAGTCCAAGGGTAGATCTCAAGCCACGGCAGGTGTCCGGTGAGTGTTTGACCCTGGTCCTTCGCAGATTTATAATTCGATCGGCCGCAGCGAATTAATTCGATGCACGGCCATGGCGCACGAAGCTGCAAGCCCCAGCATCAAGCAGGACATGCGGCGAGTGACCGGGGTGACGACCGATTTTTGCAGCGCTGCATTTTTTTTTCGGTCAGGAGCTGTGTCGCCTGCGAGCTGGACTCACCGATTCTCAGGAACGAAGACGCTAATTTTTGTCGACGGTGGTTGCTGCAGATTCAACAGGGCTCCTTAAAAGATGCGTTTTGCAACCATTTGAAACATGTTGCTTTCTCACCAAAATAAAGGGAAACCACCATTTACAAGGCAGTGTTCGGATTCAACAAGATGTCCGGGAAATAAGAACGATGAAGGTGTCATCTCACAGGCTCCCTGGCCCAAAAACAGTGCAGCTTAGGGGGCAGCGATCTATCGCTCGGGGAGGGAACGTGTATTGTTTGCGGAGCGCGCCCCCTCCCAGGGCCCCACCAACCCCTCCGCCTATGCTATCAATGGCTGGGCGAGTGAGTGATCCGGCCGTTGCGGGCCGGCAGTCCGTCCTTCGGTACTTGTTACATGCGCAAGTTAGATGGTTTCGATCCCGGGTGAAAGTCATCCAAAGGGTGAGGGCAGCAGTGATTCAATTTCCAGGGAGGAAAGTGCAACATCCAGCGTTCTTCGGGGGCGAAAGAGAAACGTAGGGGAGCCCTTTGAAATTGTTGGAGTCCGGACGGAAGTGGTGTAAGTGATTCTCCCCCCTCTCCGCGAACGTTGCAGGCGCGGCATAGAGACACAGCTTTGCTGCTGGAACGGCTTTCAGGTGGGCAGAGGTCAGATTGCCGACGTGCTGTATGGATTACTTTCCTTTCATCAGGCCTTCTAGAGTTCTTTCTTCCCAGGCAGAGTTTTGTACCCCAACTTTGGAGTGCAGCAAGTCGCTGTGGCTTAAAAAACCCTGTGCCCAAATGGAACCCTGGTAAGTGGAAACATGGACCAAAACCTGCGTAACCCCAGCTGTTGAATTTTGAGCCACATCCAAGTCTTCCCATGCACTTCTTTCGTTTCACGCCGACTAAAGTCAACGTCTCCCCGAGCAGGCCAGAATGCCGCGCTCCGCGCGCAGCTGAGGGATTCCGAGGCGCGAAATCCGAAAGGGATTTCCGAGCAGTTCTTAGCTTTCTCAGAGCTGACCTAATGTTATTTGCTGCTTCATGTGATTTTTGTTTTTTGTCAAGCATGACAAGGTTCAGACTGGAGGGGGCGAAATTGGTGGCCGCAATTCTTTGCCTGCTCATTTCATCAAATTTCCGGGAGCCTTCTACCTCATCCATCCATCCATCCATCCATCCATCCATCCATCCATCCATCCATTCATTTATCCATCCATCCATCCATCCATCCATCCATCCATGCATCCATCCATCCATCCATCCATCCATCCATCCATCCATCCATCCATCCATCCATCCATCCATCCATCCATCCATCCATCCATCCATCCATCCATCCATCCATCCATGCATCCGAGCATCCATGCATCCATGCATCCATGCATCCATGCATCCATGCATCCATGCATCCATGCATCCATGCATCCATCCATCCATCCATCCATCCATCCATCCATGCATCCATGCATCCATCCATCCATCCATGCATGCATGCATGCATGCATGCATCCATGCATCCATCCATCCATCCATCCATCCATCCATCCATCCATCCATCCATCCATCCATCCATCCATCCATCCATCCCTTCCTCCCTCCCTCTTCACCCATCCATAGAACCATCCATCCCTGTATCCATGTATGCATCTATCCATGTATGCATTTATCCATCTATCCATCTGTCCATCTATTCATCTGTCCATCTAGCCATCTAATATTCATCCATCCAGAAATCCATCCAGAAACCCATCCAGAAATTCATCCAGAAATCCTTCCAGAAATCCATCCAGAAATCCCATCGATCCATTCATCCACGCATTCATGCATCCATGCATCCATGCATCCATGCATATCCATGCATATCCATGCATATCCATGCATATGCATGCATATCCATACATCCATCCATGCATCCATGCATCCATCCATCCATGCATCCATCCATCCATCCATCCATCCATGCATGCATGCATGCATGCATCCATGCATCCATCCATCCATCCATCCATCCATCCATCCATCCATCCATCCATCCATCCATTCATCCATGTATCTGTCTATCTTTCTGAAATTTCTTGTCCTGTCCTATCCTATCCTTATCCTATTCTATCCTATCCTGTCCTGTCCTATCCTATCCTATCCCATCCCATCGAATCTATCTATCTTGTATTTCTATCATCCATCCATCCATCCATGCATCCATGCATCCATCCATCCATCCATCCATCCATGCATCCATCCATCCATCCATCCATCCATCCATCCATCCATCCATCCATCCATGCATGCATGCATGCATCCATCCATCCATCCGTCCGTCCGTCCGTCCGTCCGTCCGTCCGTCCGTCCACCCGTCCACCCGTCCACCCGTCCACCCGTCCACCCGTCCACCCGTCCACCCGTCCACCCACCCACACCCCACCGCCGGCCGGCCCGCTCGCCCGCCCGCCCGCCCGCCCGCCCGCCCACCCACCCACCCACCCCCACCCCACCCCACCCCACCCACCCACTGTCTATTTGTCTATGTGTCTATCTACCTGTCTATCCTGCTCACTTCACCAAATTTAGTGGATCGTTTCTGTGCAGCAACTGCACCGCAAGATTGTCAATGGGTTTCGATCTGGCGCCGTTGACCATCGGACGAGGCCTCGGAGATTTCGGAGTCATGGGCCCAGTGTGGAGGGTTGTTTGTGTGCGTGCGTGCTGGCATTAGCACGGATTCCTCTGAAACTGCATGAGAAGGACGTTCGCAGCATACGGCTGTCAGCGAGTTGAAGCCACGATTCGGTATTTGGGGGAGTCTAAGTTAGCTGCACGGACCTGACTGTTTCGACTTGTGCATTGCCCGCTGAATGGTCTCAAGCTGTTCAAAGGGAAGCGCTTTCCAGGATATTGATGGCCGAATCATGGCTCCTCCCATCATTTGACAGACACCATATCCAGGGAGCGAGTCTCAAACACGACAAATCAACCATTGGGTTTTTATACATATACATAAAACAAACAAAAGCACACATTGGGTTGGGGTTTTATACAAGGCCCATTCTTTAATAAAGAAATAGTAATAATAAGACTAATAATAATAAGACTGATAATAATAATAATAATAATTAACATACTATTATTTTTTCTTGAAAAGCAATTGAACAACACAAAGCAAGTCTTTCTGGCTGCGTCAGCCGTCGCCCTCGAGGCGCGAGAGGGGCGTCGAGAAGCTGCGACGGGAGACCCCCAGGCGCTGCCCCACGCCCTCGACGCCCTCGTCAGGTGGGAGTGGGAGAAGCCCTTGGATGGGTGGGGTTTAGGGTTTTGGGCTTAGGGTTTAGGGTTTATGGGTCAAAATGCAGCCAGTGGATGGCGAAATCCAGACACACCAAGAAACCAAGTGGTTTCTGATGTTTCTGATTCGATTCCCCTGTAAATAGCAATGCACTGGTTCTTTTCAACATGGTTTCCAAGTGGTGCAGGATTTCGTCCAGCCGCAGTATGGGCCGCAGGTTTCAGTCCTCTTGTTCATTCAGCAGGGTCAGCCAGATTGGGGTTAACCTTGTTTTGACCCAGCCCCAAATGATCGGTTTCCTGAGAGATGTGAAGACGCAGAAGTTGATTGCCTGGAGGACGTTCTGGGACGGCTGTGGAGGCAAATGCCTTGAGGCGCTGATCTGAAGGGAACTTCGCTAAGATGCAGCTGACATATCCTGAATCCTGGCGGTTCCTTCACTTCCTTACCGATTTGTGGCCCACTAGTTGCTTGATAGGAGTCTCTTGCCCAGTTGAGATGTTTTGCTTTCATTGAGATCTATCAGCCAGGTTTGAGCATGTCTTTTCATCATTTCGCGCTGATTTGCTCGGATGAGATCCGAACTCGCCACCTGTTAGTCCGTGGGAATATGTTGGTGCATGCGCATTCGCACATACGATTGTGTGTGTGTGTGTGCGCGCGTGAGAATGCGTCTGTCTGTTTGTCTGCCTGCCTGCGCGGGTGTGGCACAGAAAGTTTCACCTTTTTCGTCGGCTGGGACTCGGAAACGCGTCGCCGCCAGGCACCGGGTGTGGCAGCTGGAGCGCAGCCTCGAGGAGGAGAAGCGCCGCAGCGCCTGGCGCTCGAAGATCGGAGAAAACGAAATGAAGCCAGACATCGGGGGTCCGCAGGTTTTGTCGTCCGTTTTTTTCTACTTGCCAAAACTCGTTTTGGGGTTGTACTATTTTTTTGACCAGCCGTTTAATTTGAAGGGTTTAGTTTCATTCAGACGAGCGAAGGTTACGGTTCTTGAAAAGTGCTCATTCATTGCCAGCGGCCGCTTTGCTCATTTTGGGAATCGGGGAGGCAGCTTACTCTTGCAAAGGAGACGCTTTGCTTCATTTGGATGGTTACTCGCGCTTGTAATTTGAGGTAGGGACACTTGGTAAACATGGAGATGCAAAGGAACTTGACACTTCTCCTCGGAGGCTTGATCCCGCTCCACTTGAATTGATTGATTCAACGCCAGGCCTGCAAACAAGCCCAACACTGACCCCGCAAAACTTGGTACTGATTTTACCGGCCCTTTCTTGCAATCCTCTTCCAAATAACAGTAGTGAGTTTGAGGCAGAGGTCAAGACTCACATGGATATTTGTTTCGTTTCGGTTTCAGTGAAGCATTGAAGGCCATGAAAAAGGAACCAAAGTAGCTTGTGGATACAACTGGAGCTTTGGGATTTGTAGATTTCGCAAGTAGAGACAGTAGAGGTCCAACAGTATTTTCTGTTTGGTTTGCCGTGATTGCTCTGGCTACCCCCATGGCCCAGGCTATGTTGCAGAGGACTTTGGCCTGTGCCCTGGTAAAGCACAGGTGCAGGGTCACGACCCATGCCGACAAGTGCTGCCTGCTGCACAGGGTACAGTCGCCCGGTACCAAGGATCAGCAGATGCATCCGGCTCAGCAGAAGTTGGAGGCCGAACAATTTTGCCTCCGCTGGGCTTGCAGCTGGTTTGGCTTTTGGTTGTTCTTGACATGCAATGTGTTTCCGCATTGGAAAGCAGGCAGATCCGGCAGGACAGCTGATAGCTGGGAGCAGCACATAGTTGAATGCATGCTTGATTTGGCTTCAGCTTTGGTTTGGCGCGTAACAGAAGGGCCGGACATGACAGCATTGTGTCTTGATTGAGCAGCATGTCAAGGGCCCGGGTGGGCGGAAAAAACAACACACTCCAGTGTGTTTCATTTGCCTCGGTCTGCCCACATTTGCAAGCAGAGAGCCACATCTCTTGCGCCATGCAAGTTGTCGACGCCTGGCCAAACTCATGCCGTCTACATCCGTTAAGAGCCTTTGGGCAGCTGAATAGTTCACCTCTCGGCTGCAACTTGAGGACCGAACGCGTCATCCCTGTGGCCTTCGGGTATTCGTCGAGTGGCTGTCTGGCAAACGGTTGGAGTTCCAACTGGATCCAGATGCTTTGGCAGAAGACCTCAAGGCGATCCGAATAGATCCGAAGATTGGAACTGACAAGGAATCGTTGCACATGGAATGCAAACGATGTGGCTCAAACGTATCGCACATGTCTGAGTGTGTGAGCCAACGTCTGCCACCAATCAGCACTTGCCTGTCTCAGACTTCCAGGATTGAAGTGGTTGAAACTGTTTTTCATTGGCCATGTGAGACTGACGTGTTGCTCTCTTAGCCAATGGCTCAACCGTGAACATGTTCCTGGCCGATGTGAATGGCTTTCCGTTCATTTCTCGATTTCAATGTCAGGTGACCAAGCTCAAAGCGGTGAAACCATCCAGAAAGGTCTCCAGGGACGGACTCTCAAGCGCTACAGACTCCTCATGTACGATGCAGCGTAAAATGCAGTAGTCTGTGTGGTGGATGAATGGCAGTGCCGAGACACACCTAGAATCATGCAATTTGGAGGCGCCGAGGAAGTTGTATGGCATTGCGTCACCAACGGGCGCGCTGGAAGAGCAGCACTCTCACCCTTAGACTGGAGCTGCCAAAATGTCTTCCACGTGCCGCCGATGCTAGTCCGTCTTTGCCACGTTGCCATGGTCACAAGTGGGCAGCAATGAGATTGAGCATTTGAAGCGTACATAGTGCGGTGGCGGGGTACTCCCAATTCCACTTGCAAAGTATTTGCGACTCACAAGTGGGCCAGCAGTCACACATTGCCGCGCACACAGCGCGCTGCGACTTCACAGTTCAGACTTTCGCGCCAAAGCTGTGAGCACTCCGACAACGTGTCGCTGATGGATAAGCAGTCTTATCCACCAGCTTGTTCACAAGAAGCAGCCTAATCCATAAGCCGTTGTAGCAAAGCATGCACGCAGCAGGGGGTGCTTCGCCCTGGGTCGCTCGCTTCTGAGAGCGACCGCGCACTTCTTACTATGGGATTGGTGAAGAACGCCACACATCTTTTGACACGACCAGACCCGCACGTAGAGGGTTCGTTCAGCTCAAGAAAAGTCACAAACAGCCACAAGTTTTCTGACATCGATTTAAAGCAACATGTCAGAAAAAGCCGCACCACAAATGAGTTTGCGACCCTCGAATGCGCAATCCATGCGAGGCTGTGCCGGTCCAGGGCAAAGCCGCAAAACATGAGTTTGCGACAACGACACGTACGATACACGTGATGGGCAATATGATGATCGAGAGAAATCATTCTAGGATAGCAGGCTGCCAGGCAATCATCATGAATCCAGTGTCTTCTCTTGCATCGGTTTCACACTAAAATATCCTTCACAATTCAAGCTTTGTGTATCTACGCTAGTTTCGCAGGAACAGCAGACCCATTCCATCTACAGCCCCTGTAGCCCAAGTCATCAGCTCCGGAAGTCTGCGCCGACAGCTGAGGTTCCAAAACCAACGCAACATGTAGCCCGACTTCGAACGACAAGCAGACATGGTGAATATATATATATATGTATATATATATGTATGTATGTATATATGTATGTATGTATACATAAAGAATTCAGTGGCCGCCTTTGCGCCGGAACACGTGTCATGTGATTAGGGCAGCCTCCTTCTTGAGGCCTCCCTAGAGCACGGAGGAGGAGTCCCTGGACCCTTTCAGACGCTTCTCTTTGGCACCCATGAGCTTGGTGACAAGGAGGGGCTCTGGGACGGCTTTACACACGTTGGTGAAATTTGTGAACTTGACATGGATACTATGGATGGACGAAATCCTGCACCACCTAAGAAACCTGGGAATGATGATTGATCCCCCTTTAAATGCCAACAAGCACTGGTTTCCCATGGGTTCAATCTGGTGCGAAATGGATTCCGTCCACAGGTCGTCACACGTTGGCTTGTCGTATGCTTGGCTCCATGGTGGTGTGCGGTACAAGAGGCACGGTGAGGAATCTGCGTCTGGGAACCTTCCATGTTCGTGTTCCGAGGCCCAAGCTCGTTCTTTGCAGTGGCGATATCTGCTAGCCCAGAGGTGAGGGACTTCTGTCTCCGCCCGGTTCATTGTCCACTGTCCCACGAAATCGTTTGGCTTGAGGCGCGGCCTTGAAATGGTACTTTTGCGGATTTAAGACACTGGCACAGGATGATTGCTGCTCAGTTGGGGGCCGCAACAGCCTGACAGGACCGCCTCAGCCAGCTCAGCAATGCCAAGGGAGACGTGCAGCTGATCTTGCTGATTTCCTCATGCAGAAGCCTTGGCAGCTATGCAGCACATGGCAAATGGCGGCTGTGACTGCGGTGCAACAGAGAAGTACACGACATTGATCTGAGACCAGCTCAATTATGCACGTGCTGCGGGACTTTGCTTTGAAAGATGCACATCATGTCATGGTAGAAAAAAACACCTGGTTACTTGGGGCCGGTGGGGGCTGGTGGGAGCTCGTCATGAACCCCTAACACGAACTTAGACAACCGGTGCGCTGTCTACATTCGCACATTTGTGCTGCACTCCTTCGAAGGGACGCATGGCCATGACCCACAGAAGTTTTGACGACACTTGGGGACCATGGCGAGGTACCAACGCGGGCAAGACCAAGAAGCTAGCAACTTTGCCGCTTGGCTTTTCTTTGGCCGTGAAGCAGGTTGACACTGGGAGCGTATCAAGGCTCATCTTCATCTACAGTTTGTCGATGTCGATGTATACTGTGATCGGGAGCCGTGTGTGGAGAGGTCTCGGGCTAGTCTAGCGATGGGACGATTCGCTTCAAGCCAGCATGCGGTGTTTGCACCAGTTTCATCCACGATACTGTTGTTCACCCAGTCATTATCAGTTGCGATGTTAAGCCACCACCGTCAGATGCCCAGAACAGACTGAAGCTCCCAATCTATTTGAGGAATATCTTGTTTCTCAGAAGGTCTCCTGTGGCTTCAATGGCGGCTTGGTGTCACTCAGCATGTGACGAGTGATCTATTTTTGAGTAAACCAGGAAATTGAAAAAAACTTGTTTGGCCATATGTTCTCCATGTTTTAACCAACCGAGCCTCCAACCGCAAAAGCACGGCGACCGTTCGCAGTTCAGATCTCAGGTCCCCACGAATTTTACGCGCTCCGAGGCGAGAGGTGGCATGTCACAGCTGGAGCAGCGACTTCATCAAGCATGCCATTCCGGAAGTGGCGCTATGTTTGGAGGACGTTGGGGACCCGAGCAACGTTCTCAAAACGGGGACCGCAGGTTTTCGTCCTTGTTTCCATTCACCAGGGTTCCATTTTGGGTACCGATTTTTGACCCACAGCCATTTGGGTGGATAAAGGGAATCCCAACCAGGTGCTGACTCGCCTGGGAACTGGCTTTGGATCAGCCCATGGGGAGCCAGCACTGTTGCATACTTGGAAGCGGAGTGGACGGAAGTCCGGATTTCTGCAATAATGTCTGCAATCAACCCATGATTTCTTCAAATTGTGCTATGGACATATATATATATATATACACATACATACATACATACATACATACGTACGTACGTACGTACGTACGTACGTACGTACATACATACATATATTCATACACATATATTCATATGTATATGTATGTATATGAATATGTATGTATGTGTGGCTGTGTCAACCCCTGATATTCATCCAGGACTTTGTCGACGAGGTACGCGATGCAGCAGTTGAAGTTGCTCGGCAAAGCATGGGGCTCCACCGCAGCACGAAGCCGCACTGTCAAGGCACCTAAGATTCAAACAGGTGGCTTGCTAAAGAGAAACCACTGGCAATGGACTTAGAACGGGCTAGGATGGCCATGGCGTTGCAAGATTGCAAGGCTCTGACGGCATTGGCGGTGGAGTGCCCGGCGCAAACCCTGGCAGAAGTCAGGCTGGGCGTGACAAGCCGCATGAGCCACGTGCTCAAAACCGATTCGGGTAGATGAAGGTTAGTATGGTTATGGCAGTCCCAGCCAGAAATCGTTGCGGATATCCGCCTTTTGATTACCTTTCATGGATTTGGGTAGACATTTGGGTATGGGTCAAAATTAAACCACCAGGGACCACAGGTATTGGTCCATGTTTCCATTGCCCAGGGTGCCATTTTGGGGAACTATGTTTGACCCACAGCCATTTGAATACCGATCGGTTTTCATGGTCACATGCCCCACGCTCAGGCGGCGCTTGGCACATCCGGACTGGTGTGTCCGGCATCACGCTGTAAAGGCGATGGATCGGACACGGTCGAAAGCGAATGAGAGTCAATCTGCCTATGAGCTCACCTGTCACCAGGATCTTCCGGTCCTTTGCGTGGGCATCCAATTCAACAAAAATCAGCTGGAATAGTGAAGATTTGCAGATTCGTAGACAGGCTTCCTGGATGGCGTGTGAGGCGCTCCATCAGATTTCACCTCCTGGCGATCTACAAAGCATTGCCGCTTGCCACGCGGGCTTGCGGGCGTTTAAAAGTTTAGGCTGCTTCCCGCATCAAGAGCGCATTGTGTCCGGTTTTTGCAAGTGCAAGGATTCGCTGAAAGTGCTGATGAAGGACTCTTGACAAGACAGCGCCATTACAATGCATATGGACTTGCGCGAGTGGCACTGAACTTTTTGCGCAAGTGGACCATCTTCTTCAAGAACATTGTTGCATTTGCGTTGTTATTCATGGCTGCAGAAGTTGGCCGAAAGATGGTGAGAGACTGGGATCGTGAAATCATTCGAAGCCTAAGTTTTACCTACGGACACTGGGCATGCGGCCATGGGTCAAAAGCCCGAACATCCCAATCCCCACTAAAATAGACTAAAAAGGGTGATGCACCTACCCGAAAATGGTACCATTGGTTTCAACCCACAGCCATGTCAACTTTTTTTTTCAATGCAGCTCGGTCAGTGTGGCCTCGTGCCGCAGGACTCTAGCAGCCGTGTGCGCGTGGCCGTGATGGTGGCTCTGATGGGCCTTATGAAGACACGGGGATCGATGTGCGCCGCGGCGGAAGTCGGAGCCATTAGGCCTCAAGCGGGAAGAATGGATCGATGGTCCCCGTGCTTTTTTTTGTGGGAGGCCGTGCTTTTGTGCTTGGGGAGCAGGTTGTGATCATCATTTCGAGTCCGTGGAACACGCCGTTCTGCGGAGAAATTTGCTTTGAGAGTGGCTTCGGAAGCTTCGTTTGCCTATCGGCCCAGGTGATGATCCAATTCTCAATGAGTTGAGGGCCAGTCTCCAGGCCGTATGCAGGCTTTGCTAGGCTCAGGTCATGTTTTTGCCAAGATTGAACTGTCCGAATGAAGGAGGTCACACATGTACAAGCCCCGACCGCTGTGGGCGCTTGCTTAGAGGACTCTCACTTTCTTGTGAAGCGCGCAACGGCTGGCATGGAAATTCAGGACTGCTTTCTGCACCGCAGTGGGATGGCATCCACAGTGTTTGCTTTGTGCAATGCAGAGAGTTACAGGCTCGCTCGTGAGGATATAGCTGCCTCAGGGCTTGCACAGTGAAGGTTCAGACGCTGATTTTGAGTTCCGGGAAATCAAGCCGTGGCATTTAGAGCCATGGAATTTTTGCTCATTTTCACAGATGGCAAGCGTTGCTCCGTTTTCCCGGACAGTTCAGAAACAAAGTAACTAAGTAGCTGGCGTCACCAGAGTAGTTTAAAGGCGCCAGCGCCATTGCCAAGGCGGCACCTGTGTGGCATCAACGCCTGTGGTGATACGTTCGAGGGCTCCGGGCCTCAAAATTCGGGGCCTGAGCCAGCGTTCCCATTTTCGGGCAGCGCATTTGTGAAAGCTGCCGGAGTCCGCGCAACCTTGGCGCAAGATACTTCGATTGGAAGATCTTGAGCCGTTCCTGGTGCCTGCAAAGGCAGATACCAGAGTTGGAGCAGAGTCGTGCTAAGTTTTAAGCATGGTCTTTGGTCGAAACAGGTGCGAGATGCCAGGGCTGATCGATTGGCTAAGACACTTCCGTTGTGGGGGAACAGCGTGCACTGATTGTATGTTTGGCGTTAAACTGTCGAGTGCGCTGCGGCGGAGCCAGCTGTTGTGATTCACGATTCTCCGCTCTTTGCTTGTTCGAGACACGTGCTGCTGTGCAAAGCGTAAAGCCAAACCTTGTTTGCCACTGGGCCGGCGCTTCACGGGTATTTAACATCTCAGTGCATGTCCAGACAAGGGCACCAGAAGTCTGGCGCATTCCAAATCTAGAGACTGGGTTGCCAAACTCGTTGCACCAAAGATAGACATATTCCGCACCGAGAGGCTGATGAGATCGCGGCGCTCAAGCTGCAGCTAGCAACCGCACATGCTGCGTCGGGGCCTAGCCGGGGCTTTCGTGGCTGTTGTGCCATCTATTTTGTTTCTGGATCACAGAAATGACTTGTCAGCTTATGTTATATTTCACAGTCAGACTCAAATGTTTTGGTAGCCATTGCCTTCCTCATGGCAGTTCTTCGATGTAATTGGAGAGCTGACTTTGGTGATTAGTGTTACCTGTCCATGGTTTGTCTTCGGCTGTGATGATCATTGGGTATTTGTGGGAGTATCCTCGCTTTGGCAAAACAAGTCACACCTTTGCACAGCCCAACCATCCTCTTTCCTTGCGGGAAAAAAACATGTGCCAAGGGAAAGGAAGCTCCTCGAAAGTGCGGAGGCAGAGGTGGCTGTGCTGAATCAACTTTTACTTTCAATGAAGCAGATTGAACTGCTCTGGCTTATGCTCTGACCTTTGCTCTGACCTTTGGGGTCAAGTGCCATCAAAGTTGTGTCCTTCCAAGTTCGACTGGTTTGTAGGGTCTTGGCAGAGCTTTAGTTTTTCTTTTGGATCCTAAGCCATTGACGTTTTCTGCGCCCGGGTGATTTCAGGCCAAAGCAGCTGCTCGGTTGTCCTCCTTTCTAGAGGCGAGATCAGGATCTGTGGCCGCGGAAGGACCAAACCTGCTGGAGCTTCATATTCAAAGCCATGCTTTTGATCAGCAATTTCCGGGGACTTGGTGTAATGAAATATGATGCAGGCGCACTCTGAGCCACCGCCTGTCCGCGAGTTGGCTGCCGGCGTCCGAGATGGTTTGCCAGTCAGGTGCTGGTGCAGGATTTGGATTTCGTCCATCCCCACTAGGTTTTACTTCTGGTCTCCTCTTAGCATCCCCCTCTCTGGGACTCCTTTTTTTTTAAAGCCTTGTCAGACAAAGGCTCAAGCCAACCTCTCCGGAGAACTTCGGCAAGAGCTGCGGCAAGAATTCGAGGCGCGGGTTCCGGGCTCCCGGCCTCCGCTAAGAGGTGGCAATGGCCAGGCCGTGCGGTTGCTGCACAAGGAGGAGATGAGACTGGCAAGAGCCGAGTGGGACGCCCAAGTGGTCTGGATGGATGGATGCATGGCGCCTTGCTTGAGGCAAGCCCAGCAACATCGAACGACCCAGCTCACTCAGGAGCTCGGCATAGCTGTGCCATGTGGATATATGTAATGGTACGCATGAGTCTGAGTCGCATGCAACCTCTTATCACACCAGTTCCCTGCCTAGGGTGTGTGCAGCCCCATGAGTGAACTGGCTGGCAGTAGGCCTTTCATAGTTGGGATGCTCGGCATTCGCAGGAACTAGATGCCTCCAAGGCCCTGCACTGTTGGTGGATTCGAGAGAGATGACGTCTTTTTCGCGCGCAGGCTGCCTACGCCACCTGCCGTTCAAGCCTGTGGCTCAGTTTCGCAAGGTGAAGTTCTTGACATGGGTATGTACGGTATGGGTCAAAGTGGAACCGCCAGGATATGGAACGCAGATTTCAGTCCAAAGTTTCCATTTGCCAGTGGGACCAGGGCAACCCATTTTTGGGTACATCTTTTTGACCAGCCACATGGAAGCGCGTTGGAGGCCTGCATGCTGTCCACACGGAAGAAGGAGCGCAGGAGGCACTCGCCAATCTGCTCCGCCGGTTCCTTAGCCTGTGAGTCATGCGGCTGCGGCACCAGCGTATGTGGCTGCGGCTTAAAAAGCCGGAATTCCAAAATGGGTTGCCCGATCAGTAAGTGGAAACATGGACCAAAACCTGCGGTTTGCCCCTCCTGTTTAATGTTGAGCCACACCCATGTGTGTCCTGTTTTTGGAGGGTACCCTTTCTGGGGTTGGTCTACAGTGAGGCCAGCAGAAAGTTGATTCATTCTGGGGTACCCTTTGTGGGGTTGGTGTATCGTGAGATCAGCAGAAAGCCACCCATTCTGGGGGGTTGCGGGGTTTGACCCAATGGTATCTCCTGCCTAAGGCACGGAGATCAAACAAACGGAGGGTGCCTTACATCGGTCTCGGGAAGAGGAGCAAGCAAGGCATGGTCGCATGACACCAGCTTCGGTCATGGTCATGCTGGATTCTTCGGATCCAGCGCGTCAGCCAACCAGTCACAGGCAGTGTGCCTTTAGACCGTGCAGGTGTCAAGAGGTTGCACGCCTGCATCACAAGGAGGCGGGACCATGACATTCCTGTCATGTCATGGCATCACTGGCATGTTTTCATGCCAATCCGTAGCACTTGAGCAATGACCACCAGCACATCCTGGGTGTCCCCATTCTCGATGTCTGATTTCCAGGGCCTGAGCGCAAACATGCGCGACTCTGTACAAGCCGCGCAGGCACAGTCTCAGATGACATGTGCTGCACTAGCTGCTGACCGCGATCGATGGAAGGCTTGTGGCTGATGTGTCAGGAGTGGAACGGTTGCGACTTGTGACTTATGTGGCTGTGGGTCAAAACCAATGGTACCATTTTGGGGTAGGTGCATCACCCTTTTTAGTCTATTTTAGTGGGGATTGGGATGTTCGGGCTTTTGACCCATGGCCATCTTTGGGACCATTTGTACATTCAGGCACGTGCTCAATGTGAAGCAATCGAGGTGGCCAAGGCGAGGGTGAGCGTGAGCGCTTGATGGCAGTTCCTCACCAATGGATTCACTCCAGGATCAAATCCTGCTTGCACGCGGTGATTTTTGGAATCCCCCCCCCCCCCCCCCGCCAGCGCAACGAGCTTGCCCTGCAGAACTACCATCAAGAGTTGCTCGCAGCCCAAAGCAGCTTGCTGGGGAGCGAGCAAGAGGCTGGCGAGGCGCCCCGAGCTTTTGAGTCGAAACTGTCACCGCACGATCTCGACATGGATCAAAACGTGACCCTCCAAAATTGAGGTTTTCCTTTTGGTGTCCCTTAAAGTCACAGAAAAGGAGTTCTCTCAAAAACACACACCCACATGAGCGAATGCACGGTGAGAGCTTGCGCATCAAACACCACGGCTTTTTCATGTTGGAACAAGCTAGGCCCGCAGAGTGCTCGAGGAGCAGCTTGCCCAGGCGGAGACTCAGGCGGATTTCTTGGGGTGTGTAGTGGGGGTGGCTCAAAATTCAAGAGCAGGGGTTACGCAGGTTTTAGTCTTTGGTTCCATTTACCAAGATGCCCGCCACTGCCTAGTGAGCTTGCAATGTCAAAATGTCTGCAATGGGGTCTGGCAGTCTGGCAGTCGGGTCGGTCAGGTGGTGCCCTTGAAGACCAGCTTGCAGGAGGCACGCTGGGGAAGGTATCAGGAGGTACTCGCAAAATGTTCGTTGGAGTAGGTATGAACAAGCTTGATGCCAATGACTCATGACCCAGGCGACCATGATCAACATGTGTGACTCATGACGGGTGTGTCCTTTTTAGGGGCGCGACAACCAAGAATTGGTTCCTTTCCTTTGGATGTCTGGTTAAAGCCCACCAAAAAAAAGGGGGTGCCCCCCGCCAGCTTCGCATGTGTCGACCTGCCAGGCCTCCGTGGAGAACTCCAGACTGATGCGGGAAGGCCGGAAAACGAGTCAAGCCCCCACGCCAGTACGCCAGTGGCCCGTTCAGAGGTGCACGGGGGGGGTTGCAACCTAGGAACCCCCAGGCAACACACCGCCCAAAACAAAGGGGGGGGGGGGCGGAAATTTCTTCCAGTGAGTTTTTTTATATTCTTGGAGATGGCTCCCAGATGGATCCGGCCACCTGGTTCAGGTGCTAGCCTCCAAGAGCAGCTGGTTGAAGCCTTGCGGGAGGCATCGCGCAGCGGAGATCGGCTTTTGGAGTCATGGGAGAGGCGCGACATGGGGCTCATTTTCCGCTTTCCCCAAGGGTTTGTAAGTGGAAGGGAGTGTCTGGATGACTTCTTTGGTGCTATTCCTGCAACCTGCGCTTGTCTTTGCGTCTGTGTGTTTGTGCGCGCAAGATGCCTAGTATCAGCTCACCCTCAGTTGGTGGTTTGGATTTTATAATTTGCTTAACCACGATTCCACCAAACTCCAAGCCACCAATTCGAGGGAAGCTGTCGCGCGCCATGAGACGACGTCAAAAAGACGTCATCTCCGTCGCATGGCTCGGTGGCGACAGAGCACCGCGCGCGCGGCCCGTCGCCTCAGGCGCAGCGCCGCACATCGAGAAGCCGCTTGCCTGGGCCAAGAGCTGCAGCAGAGTCGCGAGGAGTTCCATGGACCCAACTGGCTGTGGCTCAAAAATTGGTACCAAAAAATGGCCCCGTGGTAAATGAAAACAAAGACTAAAACTTGCGTGACCCTAGCTCCTTGATTTTGAGCCACACCCAACTGGCCCAAGGCTTCCCCAAAAAGAGGGCGGTGAGGCCGCCGCACCCCCGGTTTCTAGGGGCTTGGGTGAAAGGCATGAAAAGAGGAACGCCACGGATTTTGTTTTTGGCGGGAGTCCTTTGCCAGATACCCATTTGCAGTGTGTCAGATTTAAACCTCCGATGTGTTTTTGGGGTTGCTCCAGGAGGCACTTCACTGTACTTGCTGCTGCGATAGGTAGGGAATGAGAAATAGGATAGTAACCCTGCAAACTCCCTTAAAATTCAACCACCACTCGGATGGTTCGTTCAAATCGGGGTCGTTCCCTTAGCTATCGCACCAGGAGCTGGCAGAAGTCACCGGGGCCCTGGCCATGGAGCAGGCGCAGGCCTCCGAGCTGCGCTGCCGCATGCGAGAGCTCGGGGGCTCAGAGTCGAGCGAGTCGAGCGAGTCCGTCTGAACTCCGGCTGGGCTTTCTCGAAGTTTCGGTTCCTTCGGCTCTTTTTCGGGTTCTGGTTCCGTTTCTTTTCGGCAAATTTAATTGTTGTTTTTTGGTTTTGGGCGGATCTTGGCCGTTAGAAATCCTTCGTGCTTCTCCTGACTCCTTGTTCCTACCCCCCTCTGCAGTCGGGCAAAAAACACTTAGCCCCGAGGTCGGGGCTGATGCCGCCATTGGGAGGCAATCTGACTTGTGCTGCGCGGCTTTTCCACGTGAAACTTGTGCCAGGAAGCAGCTGGCCGGAGGCTGGTTTCTCTTCGATTGTAAGACATGTTTACTGGAGCCACGTGCTCAAAACCGATTCGGGTAGATGATGAAGGTTAGTAAGGGACAATCCCCTTGCCATAAATAGCTGCGAAAATACCGCCTTCTTAATTCTTTACATGGTTCTGGGTAGACCATTTCAATACCGGATTTGATGAATTGGGATCCATGGCAAACAAAAGTCTTTACCATTTGAAGGAGAATCGGTTTGCTCAAAGAAAGAATACGGGATGTATGGCTAAGTTTTGTTCTGGAGGGCCCAAAAACCAAGGCGAGCTGCCTGGGTGCAAGCCCAATCTGTCCGAAGCGCGAATGCAGCGAAAGCATCAAAGGGTCACCAGAGCGCCGGCAAGCGCCGACTTGTTGAACCCATTTGTGGATACCTGGAGAGTGCGAGTTGGAGTTGGACTGCGAATGTTGAGCCATAGTTGCAGCCTTGCCTCCGTGGATGAAGCTTGTAATCACCTTGCAAGTAGCCGGCGTGGCTCAGATGTTCTTCGACCTGAGTCATGTGAGGGTTTCCCATTCTTGGCCATCGGGTGGGGGGCATGCCAGGCAATGGGCGGTGTATTCCAGAACTGACTCCCCTCCGGCATTGCTTAGACACAGAAGGCAGTCAGATTGGATCCTTGGGATCACGAGAGACTTGAGGTCAGCACATTGTACTCAACATACACAAGCTGTCCACTTTATTTGAGCTCTCTGACGCCACACGTCCTACCCCTTAACGCCATGGACGAGGGCAGCTTGTGGCCGATCGATACCAAGGCAGGCCATTGCCAGAGATTCTTTCAGAGCATGTGGATCAGTTGCCTTTTGTATTCGCATGCGAACAAGTGAGACCACACAATAATTACAATTCATCACGCAGTTCTCAGCTCGCCATCAGGCCCTCCTTGTTGCCAGCACGGCAGCTGCGGTAGGGCTGCAAGCTTAGGAGAGCTGCCCAGGATCTCCACGTTCCTGTCTCACCGGTAGGGAGCTGCATCCCTTTGGCAGCCGGCACCATGGATGGACATGACTGTGGCTCAAAAAACCGGTACCCAAAATGGAACCCTGGTAAGTGGAAACATGGACCAAAACCTGCATAACCCCTCCTGTTTAATTTTGAGCCACACCCACATGAAGACAATCGAACATGCAACAAGCTTCCTGGGGACGGTTGCTGCGTTGATTGATCGCTGCGAGGTTTGTGGCTGGTTTGCAGATTGCTTGGGTGCGGCTTTCGCCTCGGGTGAGGCCCTCAGAAGGTTGCCCTGCAGCCATGCCACGTTGATGGCGGCTGCCGAGTTTGACTTGGCCAATTTTGAACAGGCAAGGGTGGTGCCGTGACCTGTGCTGGTGCCGGTGCCAGTTAGTAACGGTAGTAATAGCGACAGTGTAAATGGTAGACGTGGTAGTGCTGGGGTTGGGCTGTAGGGGTGAGCTGGAGACTTGTTGTTGGCATGTCTTGGTTCAAAGGTTAGACGGCGCATGAACCGGGAGAAGCACAATGGAAAAGTGAATGGCGAAGCACCAAGGACGCGGCTCTTACCTTTGTGTATCGATTGTATTTGTGTGCACTTTAAGGTCAGGGTGTCTTAAGGATGAGCATCCTTAAAGGCAAGCATAACCATCACATGTTTGTTGCTGTGCGTGGCCTTTCGGGTCCTTCCGTCAGGTCCCACGGACCTTGGTTCCCGGCCTTTGGCCGGCCTGGGGTACTTTGAAGCCAGAAGGCAGCAGTTTTTGCGATGCTGACTCGGCACGCCCTCCCAAAATTGACCCTCAAGAAACACTTCATCCATCCTGCCCCACCCGTACCAACACCAAGCCTACTGTGACTGCTCTTAGATCCTCTAGAAACCTTGCACCTTTAAACCAACCCTCAACTCATAACTTTGGCCTGAGTCAAGCTCAAATCCCTACGTCCTATGTAGTTTCAAGTTCAATCAAATCTGACTTAACAGCCTAGAGCGCATCAATCCTGAAACAACCCTAAGCCCAGCCTAAACTGCTCATCACACGCCTGAGCTCAATGGAATCCTACCCAACTCTTAAACCATCCATGCGACTTTTCAGACAAACGGCATCCGCTTCAAGCCGTGAGATGCTGGATGATGTAGGAGGCTTCCTTTCGGCAGACACGGAAAGGATGAGGTGAGCCAAGCTGAAAAACTTGGAAGGAAACAGCTCTGTGCCCAATTTGTATCCTGGCAGAGAGGAAACACACCGGGCGCCGCAGCCCGGCACTCAGATTTGCGGGCGGAGAAACAGACATGAGAGCCACACGCACCATCCATAAATCAGGTTTGCCAACTCGGCCAAAGAATGCTTTCTCTAAATTCGACACAAGCCCGCAAAACTGACCGAGACAATGCCACCCCCTAAGCCTAAAGCAAACCTGGGCCTACCTGAAGTCCACCAAACCTACCGTGAACCCCAACCAAAGCGACCACCCCCCCACCACCGACCACCCCAGGCTAACCGCGCAGGTTCAACCGGATAGGGTTGACACAATGCAAGTGACTAACAAATGGAAGTCCTCATCGTGTGCAGGACAAAGCAGCAAAGACCCTCAAACGAGCTAGCCAAAGCGCTTGGCAACGATGAGTGACTGCTTTTCTTCAGCCTAAACTACATGGATGAGCAGCCGCCACGCGTACACGCTGCCTGTCACGTCGGCGAATTATGTACCTCTTGGAACAAGAGTTTTGTCATTTGGATCGCGTCTCGCTTGCAGGAGTGTCGGAATAGTTTGTGAATGCGGCGCCATCATCCAGGGCAAGTGCACTCCTGAGGCGGGTGAGTTCCGCTGGAAGCCATTGCCTGGGAGCCGATCGACCGATCGAAGTCTCGGCGAGGAGATCGAGAGACACAGAGCCTCCAATCGCCACCAGCGCAACATGCTCCGGCACAGCGGCAAGGAGGCGCCGGAAGTGAATCAAAGCAACACCGGCGCCGTTGGTGGACACTGCAAATGACTCACAGCGGAAGATTGGCGCAGCTCGAAGGATGCTGCTTGAGGCGTTGACAGGTCTGGTTCCAGTAGTAGGTAGCAAGGAACCGTGACACTTTTTGACACCAGCAGTGATAGTGACACCGGTGCCCCCGATGGCTCGAGCCTTCGGCGGGTTCCGGACAGCCATAGCGGATCATGACCCAGGCGTCGGACTTCTCGCCCATGTGCGTGTTGACGGATGCGAGTTGCCAAGCACTGCTGAGCTGTAAACAATGTGATGTTTGATATCTTCCAGCAAAAAAAACAGTTTCAAATAGCATCTTCCAGAAAAAGCAGGTTCGAATAGAATCTTCCAGGAAGAAAAAGCAGGACAAATAGTATCTTCCCAGGAAAAAAAGGTTCATCGCTTCGTTCCCGGGCCTTTGGGCACTGGACATGTCAAATCCCTAGCGCAGATCTCCGACCGAGCAACGGAGGTGACTGGCTTCCGCAGCGCCTTCTTCATCGACACCCAGTCCAGGCAGGACCTTTTGACATGGGAAGCAGCATCTTTGACGTTGACACAGACACACCTTAAATCTCTCTCTCTCTCTCTCTCTGTCTCTTTCTCTTTCTTTCTGATTGTCTGTCTGTCTGTGTGTGTCTGCGTGTGTCTGTGTCTGTCTGTGTCTGTCTGCGTCTGTGTGTGTCTGTCTGCGTCTGTCTGTGTCTGTCTGTTTCTGTCTCTGCCTGTCTGTGTCTGTCTGTGTCTGCCTGCGTCTGTCTGTGTTTCTTTCTTTCTTTCTTTCTTTCTTTCTTTCTTGCTTGCTTGCTTGCTTGCTTGCTTGCTTTCTTTCTGTCTGTCTGTCTGTCTGTCTGTCTGTCTGTTTTGCTGTGTGTGTGTGTGAACCGTCCTGGAGCACGGACGCAAAACTTTAAGCAGCAGGGGCGTGTGGCACTCTCATCCTACCACACGCAATGAAGCTGTGGGTGAGAGTGGGAAGCAAGGCCTGATCAGCCTTGTGTACCTGCCTTTCCTTCTTTTTCCTGACTGTTTTTCCGTCCTGTTCGCTGTTGCTTCCCGGTTTCTGTTCTGCATTTTGACCTGTCAAGCAATTTCAGCAGTTGCAGGTTCTTCCAACCTTTTCATCTCGGCTAGTGAAGCCTCTCGAGATAAGTGTGTTTACCCACGGCCTGTCCGACATGGCGCTGTGGGCTGGACTCGCCATATGCGGGAGCCCCCTGCAAGGGGATGACGTTCAAAAGTTCACGTTCAGTTCACCTTCGCATTGCACTGCCTGCCTTTTGAACAAGGCAGCTCTCACGAGGTATCAGGCTCCGGCAGCTTCATTCGCATTGCACTGCCTGCGTTTTGAACAAGGCAGCTCTCATGAGGTATCAGGATTCGGCAGCTTCATGCGCGAGTGACAAGCCGGTCAGACACCGACTTTGCCGTTCATTGGTTCACGCTCTGCGCCGACTCAGATCAGTTCAATTCATGTTCACGCCTTGACTACCATTTTCGTTTCTTGCGAAACCTTTTTCCGTTGCCGCGGGGTTTTTTGTCGGGCCCCTGGTGGAATTCCCTCGATTTGGTTTTGTGTGCTTGGGTTTTTTTTTTTCGTTTTTCGTCTTTGAAAGTCTTTTGCTGTTGCCGCGGGGTTTTTGGCGGTCCCCTGGTGGAATTCCCTCTGCTTGGTTTTGTGCGCCCGGTTTTTCGTCCTTGAAAATCTTTTGCTGTTGCCGCGGGGTTTTTGGCGGTCCCCTGGTGGAATTCCCTCTGTGTGGTTCGTGTCCGCCCCACCGGGGCTTTGTGTGTGTGAACCGTCCTGGAGCACGGACGCCAAACTTTAAGCAGCAGGGGCGTGTGGCACTCTCATCCTACCGCACGCAATGAAGCTGTGGGTGAGAGTGGGAAGCAAGGCCTGATCAGCCTTGTGTACCCGCCTTTCCTTCTTTTTCCTGACTGTTTTTCCGTCCTGTTCGCTGTTGCTTCCCGGTTTCTGTTCTGCATTTTGACCTGTCAAGCAATTTCAGCAGTTGCAGGTTCTTCCAACCTTTTCATCTCGGCTAGTGAAGCCTCTCGAGATAATGTGTGTGTGTCTGTCTGTCTGTCTGTCTGTCTGTCTGTCTGTCTGTCTGTCTGTCTGTCTGTCTGTCTGTCTGTCTGTCTGTCTGTCTGTCTGTCTGTCTGTCTGTCTGTCTGTCTGTCTGTCTGTCTGTCTGTCTGTCTGTCTGTCTGTCTGTCTGTCTGTCTGTCTGTCTGTCTGTCTGTCTGTCTGTCTGTCTGTCTTGCTGTGTTTGTGTCTGTGTCTGTCTTTGTCTGTCTGCGTCTGTCTGTGTCTATCTGTGCCTGTTTGTGTCTGTGTCTGTCTGTGTCTGTCTGTGTGTGTGTGTGTGTGTGTGCGTGTGTCTGTGTCTGTCGTTGTCTGTCTGTGTGTGTTTGTGTCTACCTGCTTGTCTGTCTCTCTGCCTGCCTGACCATGGTTAGGGTAAGCTTCAGCAACGTGGATATCTACCATCAATCGGAGAAAAGAGAGAGAGAGAGAGAGAGAGAGAGAGAGAGAGAGAGAGAGAGAGAGAGAGAGAGAGAGAGAGAGAGAGAGAGAGAGAGAGAGAGAGAGAGTGAGCGGGAGAGAGCGAGAGAGGGAGAGAGAGGGCGAGATCGAGCGAGAGAGAATGAAAGAGAAAGTCTTGTTCAACACGCTGTCAACGTTGCCCGTTCAACAGCCTGTGGGAGGCTGCTGCCACATGGGCCGCTGACTCAGCTTGCAGTCAACCTTTGGAAGAAAGCAGGACTGATCACATTTTCCTTTGTGGACATGGTCGCCTTGCCCAAATACGGATACACAAATGGCTGTGTACCTTGCAGTGGTTGGTTTGTTCTGTGCTATTGAATCAGAGCATTCAGGTTTAGCATTGCGTGGTGGGCGAAGGCATCTTGCTGGCAGCGAGCGTAGCTTTTGCTCTTACCCTCTTTCCTCCAGGGTTTGTCTTGGAAGTTGGGTGACGTGGGAGCTGACAGGTCGTTCTGCTGATCCTCAACATTCCCTTGACGCAGATGTTGTGCAGCGCAGCTGCTGGCCGCTGTGGGGCGGTTCAGCTTTGTACGTCCGTGTTCGTGCTGCGCGTGCTGCTTCAGATGTCCGTTTTCTGGTCCAGAGGCATTCCCTGGAAGGAGGTGGCTGTGGGTGCAAAACAGTCGGCAACCCCCAAATGGATTGCCCGTTCGGTCAATGGAAACATGGACTCAACCCTGCAAAATGGATTGCCCGCTCGGCAAATGGAAGCAAATACCAACACCAGCGGTCCCATATCCTGGTTGAATTTTGCCCCATAGGTGGTCTTCGAAGCCGGCGGGGTGATTCCTCTCTCGGTAGCGTCGATGGCTCATGGAGCCGCCGGCTGCCATCGCCCCATGGGGTGCTATGAAGCTCTGGGGCTTCTGGTCTTCTTCTTTGGAACATGGCTGAACGTCTATCCGGAGTGGCAGCGTCACAGATGGAAGAGCCAGGGTCACGTGGGGCAGCTTTATCGCCGCGGCCTGTTTTCAGTGGCTCGCCACATCAACTACACTGGCGAGATCTTGTCCTTTGTTGGCTTTTCTTTCGTCACGGGAGTGGCTTGGACCCTTTGGGTACCTGTCATCATGGCAGCCGGCATGTGCACTCTCAGCGTGCGCGAGATCGAGTTCTACTTGAGCCAGCGATACCATGGTGAATGGGCACAATTTACAGTAGACGTGCCGTGGCTCATGGTCCCCGGGCTGTACTAAGAGAGGGCAACAATTAATTGATCCACACTCAGCAGAGATGGTCTTGGCAAGAAAGACAAGCTGTCTTCCTGGGCAGACTCCATTGGAGGGCAAGCGTCATCACACTGAAATTCTGGGGAGTCTGCATGCTTACAAGGAACTGTCAGCGATCGACTGATATGTCGCACCAAGCAATTGCCACCCAGCGTCCAGAACCGACAGACAACGGGCTCTTGCCATCCAGGCGGTGTGTGCAGAATGACTTGCTTCGTCCAAGCTCGACGTCAGCTGCGCATCGAATCTGCTGCCGTCCCTTTTGACATGCTTTGTGTGCAGTGTGGTCATTGAGGCAGAGGCACAGCTCATTTGAAGAAAGTGCTGGCACATTGCAATGAAGGAAAAATATGTTGGCACGGTGAACTCGTAGGAATCAGCATTGGAGTCAGTGAGGGACTTGATCGATGCTTGGAAGGTGGTGGCTTGTGAGGAGGTCTCTGAATATCGTGATGCTGCTCTGCGGCTCTTGCCTGTGTTACCCACTTGCCTTTGAGTCTTTGAGTGCGTTCTTGCGGCATACGGGTTTCGTTTCGCACTTGCCTCATACCAGGGCACTGGTAAACTCGAATGATGTGGTCCTGGAGGCCACGAAAGATGAGTCAAATTGGCACGGGGTCATATTTGCCGCACTCTTGCAGGTCGGCTCGCATGTCGGCGGCACCACCAAGGCAGGCCAGCGACGCCCAGCGACGCCCAGCGACGCCCAGCGACGCCCAGCGACGCCCAGCGACGCGACGCGCGACGCGCGCTCCGCACGCTTTGCACACTTTCTCTGGGCAGGTTATTGCAACCATGGCCGGCCGTGTGGTGGGTGTGGATCAGCAGCCGGAGCTTGTGGCGCAAGTTCCGTGCTGAGTATGCTGAGGGAACTCAAGGCGGGCGCACAGATTTCATCCGTTTCCCACGTGAGACATAGTCAAAACCCAGGTAAGAGAAGGCTCGTGAGGGATAGTCCCAATTCTTGACATGTTTCTGGGTAAACCATGTTGCCAGGTTTTGATTGTGGCTCACGTAGCCCATGCTGAAACCAGATTTACAACGCCAAGGCTCGAGAAAATCATCCAGAGATCCAGTTCGAGGAGGGATATGGCATGCGCACCCATCAAGCACTCAAATGGGGAAGCCCCGGATTCCCCCGGTGGATCAACAGGGAGTGTCCCTTTTGGGGAGAATCTCCTTTTTGGAGGGAAGACACCCCATGAACAGCACAGGTCATTAATCTGGGGGTCAACATTACTTGTCAGAATTTCGACGCCTTCGATTCCACGAAGCTGATGGTGGCTAGCTCAAGGGGGGTGACCTGTTGTCGCGCACGGAGTTGCTTGGGGCAGTATTGAACAAGTTTGCTTGAGTCCGCTCAGTAGCACAGTTTCAGCAGACTTGCTGCCTGAGGCGCTGACAAAGTCCCTTCAGCCGCAACGATTCACAAAGGCAACTCTGGCAATTTTGACCTGGTCACCCTGAAATCGGGATGGGGTGCGGCAGGTTTTCATCGACATCAGCGGAAGCAGGGACCTGGCTACGGTGAGCCTCGTATCTGTGCTGCTGACACGTGATTTCCTTTGGTCAGGTATTCAGAATGATGGACTTGGTGGACAAGATCATTGGCCCTGATGCCATGGTTGTGAAATCACAGGCGGCTGCAGTGAGTGTCCATGCCTGATAGGCAAGGAAGCGGCCACCTCGCACGGCCCCTCAGCTTGTCAGCAGATCTTCTTGCCTAGAACGATTCTCCCCCTGGCCATGGCGCTGTTCGACCTCTTCGGCGCATGCTCCCGGCCGGAGCCACGGGTGGTACGCACCGCCGCGGACCCGCCGGTGCCGCCGCAGGACGCGTTGCAGCTGCTGGCGGAGGGCAACCGCCGCTTCGTGAACGGCACGCCGCTGGGCGCCCGCACCAAGGACGAGCTGCGGCGGCGGCTGGTCGACGAGGGCCAGGCGCCCCACACTGCCGTCATCGGCTGTGCGGACAGCCGTGCTCCACTGGAGACTTTGTTTGATGCTATGCCCGGCGACATCTTTGTGCTGCGCAATGCCGGAAACACATGCACACATTCCGAAGGGTCCATGGTGGGCAGCCTGGAGTTCTGCACGGGCAAGCTGGGCAGCCGCCTGATCCTGGCCGCCCGGTTAACACGACTTGCTTGCGCAACCGCCCGTATCGCGCTCGCCCCGAGGTCTTGGGCCACTCGAAGTGCGGGGCCGTGTACGGCGCCACCAAGGCGTACCTCAGCGGCGCCCGGGGCAAGGCCTCCGCGCTGGAAGGTCTGCTGCAGGGCCTGGGCTCCGTGGCGCAGCAGGCCGCCGAGCAGCTGGGGCCCGGCGCCCAGGAGGAGGACGTGGCCGCGCGCGCCGTGAGCGTGCGCCTCGGCGCGAGTCGGCGAGTCGGCGGTTTCAGAGGACAAGCATTCAGCAAGCATAAGCCAGTGACGTATACCCCTTTGCCTTTCGCGCCATTCATACTTGGGCACCCCGATTGTACATAGTGAGAAGCATGAGAACCGCGAACCTGGCTCTGGCTATCGCAGCCAGCAGCCACGCAGTGTAGCGTGCACTTTGCATGCAGTATGAAATTGTCACTTAAGCAGCGGAACCGGGCGTATTGACAAAACCCTTAGGAACGTCTTCCAGACCATGGCCTTCCTGATGCGCTACAGCGAGTCCATCCGAGAGAGCGTGCGTACTGGGCAGGTCCAGATCCATGGCGGCATCTACCACTTGGAGACGGGATGCGTGGAATTCCTGGGGCAGTGCCCAATGCAAGGCCAGCTGCTGGACTCCACGATGTCCATTCCCCCAAGCATGGCCCATGCGGATGCCCCGAGCCGCGGCGTGCACGGCGTGCGCACGGGCGCCGACGCTGCCGTGTCCAAGGCCGAGGCGCTGCAGTTGCTGAAGGCGGGCAACCGGCGGTTCGCCGCCGGAGCGCTGACTTCCACCACCACCTCCGGCTCCATGCGGAAGGCCCTGGTCAGCTGCGGCCAGGCACCTCACAGCGCCATCCTGGGCTGCGCCGATTCCCGCGTGCCCGTTGACACCGTGTTCGACGCTATGCCCGGGGAGTTGTTCGTGCTGCGCAATGCCGGAAACACGTGCACGCATTCCGAAGGGTCCATGGTAGGCAGCCTGGAGTTTTGCACGGGCAAGCTGGGCACCCGCCTGATCCTCGCTACTCAGAGCACCAGTCAGATTTTTGTTTGCAAGTCGATAGTTGATATGCTGATCCAGGGAAGTTTCCTCCACCCCGTGTTGGCTCACTCCTCCCTGGGCCTTTTGTGGCTTGCGGCTTGCGGCTTGTCACTCAACTTGGCTCGACTCGCCAGGTCTTGGGGCACACACAGTGCGGGGCCATCGCGGGGGCCACACAGACCTTCCAAGCCAACGAGTCCAAGGCAGGGTCCACCGGACGCAAGCGACACCCAGGTTTGTGAGAAACGGTTGGCGCATGTTGCGGGCCCCTTGTCGCGCAGGCCCCGGGCTGCGCCTTGGAGGGCCTGCTGCAGGGCTTGGCCTCTGTGGCCAAGACTGCCAGCGAGGAACTCGGCCCCGGCGCGGCCCCTGAGCAGCTGGTCGCGCACGCGGTCAAGGTCAACGTCTTCCAATCCATGCGCCTCACCTCAAATTTGTTTCTTAGTTTTGGGACTAGTCGGCGCGTCAGAAGCACAGAACCGAACTCCAAGTTTGGAAGACGTTGGCGAACTTAGACTGAAAGAAGAACAGGATTCCCAGATGTTCCTTCTTTTTTCTCGAGTTCGGAGCCTGACACGACAGGAACTTCCTCCTGAAGTTCAGCGCGCCCATCCGGGAGATGGTGCGCAAGGGGGAGCTGGACATCCAGGGGGGCATCTACCACCTGGAGACGGGCTGCGTGGAGTTCCTGGGCCGCTCGCCGCAGGAGGCGGAGCTGTTGGCCTCGTCCGAGTCGCTGCCGCCCTCCATGGCCGTGGCTGCGGTGCGCACGGCCCAGAACGAGCCGATGGAGCCCAAGAGCGCCCTCAGCCTGCTCAAGGCCATCGCCGGGTGGGCCCGCGGGGAGTTTTCGGGTTCGGGTTTCGGATGGCTTCGGGTTACGGACTTGTTGGAGATGTTGCTCATTTGTCGGAACTTGTGGGGATAGTTGCCTTTGAGGAAAATCACATCATGATGCTCCCAAGTATAAGTGCGAGTGCGCGAAGTGGTGCCGCAGTACTTGAAGACCTGAAGCCGCACGTCACCCAGTTTTCCCGTAGGATGGCAACGATCGCTTTGTGGTGGGGGCGCCGGTGGCCAAAGTGCATCGCAGCATGCGGGAGGCGCTCGCCACGGGGCAAGCGCCCCACACGGCGCTGGTTGGCTGCGCTGACTCGCGCGTGCCCTTGGAGACGGTCTTCGATGCTTTGCCGGGCGACCTCTTCGTGCTCCGAAACGCCGGCAACACTTGTGCCGCGGTCGCAAGTTCGGGCACGACTTGCTGAGATTTTGTCTGATTTTCAAGGATTCACGAGTCTTGCTTTTCGTCTTTGCCTCCTGCAATCGAACTTGTGCCTTTGAGCCCACTCGCTTGCTGTCCTTTGCGCAGGCACCCATGCGGAGGGCAGCATCCTGGGCAGCCTGGAATTCTGTACGGGCGCCCTGAAGACTCGGCTGATCTTTGTTTTGGGCCACACGAGCTGCGGAGCCATCAAGGGTGCCACGGCCGCGTTCCTGGCGAAGCAGCAGAAGGCCACGGGTCCTCCGGTCCCCCGACGGTCGCCTTCGAGTTTTTTCGATGTGCGCCAGGCCTCCCACGCGCTGGACGCCCTGCTGCAAGGCCTTGGCTCCGTGGCGGAGGCGGCGTCCAAAGAGCTGGGGAAGAAGGCCACGGAGGAGGAGATCGCCAAGCGCGCCGTGAAGCTGAGCCTCGGTGGCAAAACAGATTGTTCAAGTTCGAGTTGCCTCACGGAGGTAGTGACCGTTTGCTCCAAACTCCAGCCCAACATCAACCTCCTCCCGTGCCAAGTATCTGCCGATGTCTGCATACCCTGTTGTCGTGGAATTTAATAGCGGCAATTGTGGAAGCAGGTGTGGATCAGATTAGCCTACAGAGCAGCACAACATCTGCTTTCGTCAACTGTCATACGTTTCTTTACTTACTGAAACTTCTGTGATGCTGGTGGTGTCAAAACTAGTCTTAGGTGGTTTGCGATACCAGCCTCGGCATATCGGACTGTTCGAGTTCGAGTTGCCTCACGGAAGTATGACTGTTTACTCAAAATTCCAGCCCAACATCAACCTCCTCCCGTGCCAAGTATCTGCCGATGTCTGCATACCCTGTTGTCGTGGAGTTTAATAGCGGCAATTGTGGAAGCAGGTGTGGATCAGATTAGCCTACAGAGCACAACAGCACAACATCTGCTTTAGTCAACTGCAATACATTTCTTTACTTAACATTTTGTGATGCTGGTGGTGTCAAAACTAGTCTTAGGTGGTTTGCGACACCAGCCTCGGCATCACGGGCTGTTCGAGTTCGAGTTGCCTCACGGAAGTATGACTGTTTACTCCAAATTCCAGCCCAACATCAACCTCCTCCCGTGCCAAGTATCTGCCGATGTCTGCATACCCTGTTGTCGTGGAATTTAATAGCGGCAATTGTGGAAGCAGGTGTGGATCAGATTAGCCTACAGAGCACAACAGCACAACATCTGCTTTCGTCAACTGTCATACGTTTCTTTACTGAAACTTCTGTGATGCTGGTGGTGTCAAAACCAGTCTTAGGTGGTTTGCGACACCAGCCTCGGCAGAACGGATTGTTCAAGTTCGAGTTGCCTCACGGAAGTCGTTCTGTTTTGGGACCGTTCGGATCCCAGGAACGTGTTCCACACCATGGACTTCATGCTCCAATTCAGCGAGCCGATCCGGGAGAAGGTGCGCAAGGGGGAGCTGGAGATCCAGGGCGGGGTCTACGACCTGCAGACGGGTCGCGTGGAGTTCCTGGGGCGCAGCCCCAGGCGCGCAGTCGCGCTTCGTGTCACTTTTTTTGTCGGGCGATGGGTCAGTTGCAAAGCTTTGGGAGAGACTGGGCGCGGGCTTTCGTCTTGTTTGCTTGGGGATTTCCAGTGGCAAGCCTGGCCTGGTTCGCATCGTAGCTAAGCGTTGGGCTGCCTAGCGATTGCGCCAGGCAATCCAAGTTGGTGAAGGCCCCGAGTGCAGTGGCGCCGTCTCTGCAGAGCAAGCTGGCTGGGGCCTAGGAGGCTGACACATTTTGAGCGAATCTTCGCTGTAATATTTGATGTCTTATCAGTATCTTATCTTCCTTAGCTGTACAGCCATTATCTTTGTGCAAGAATTCACGCGCACAAGTCCGCCGTGGTCGATTTTCGTATGATTTTGGATTAGGGCAGAGCCCCAATACCGCCTGGCGACCGCTTACAATGTTCGGTCAGCCAGAAACCCCAACATGTGCGAGTACAGCAGGGAAAGATGTGGCACTGGGCCTGACTGCAGTCATCTTCCAGCACTGCCGGTACGGTGTGTTCTGGAAATGAGGGAAAGCCTGAAGACAGGCACCGCGATTTTTTCCATTGTTCCTTGTCGCACGGCCCCTCAGCTTGTCAGCAGATCTTCTTGCCTAGAACGATTGTCCCCCTGGCCATGGCGCTGTTCGACCTCTTCGGCGCATGCTCCCGGCCGGAGCCACGGGTGGTA